TACTGTAGATAGTGGTTCCACTATATAACTTGATGGATAATGCTTATGTCTTGTAGGAACCGGCTGCTGTGCCTAAACAGAAAGAGAACCAACCAGCAAACCAACTAAATGCATTCCGTAACAAGGACGAACAGGTAAAAGAAAACGCCAAAAAATATTATTGTAGTTATTGTAATTTTTATTGACATTATCCAAATGAATTTTAGAGATTTTTTATTCATGAGGGGAAAAAAAAGGCAAGAATCTTAACCACTGAGCTATTGAACTCCACTCTATTAATAAGTATATATTTTAAAAGAGGATGTTCAATTTTCTGTATCAATTTTACAGAGCATTACATGTATTTGTAATATGAAAGTCAGTATAAGTATGAATAAACAAATAAGCAACATTTGTTTCAAAATATCCTTGCTATGTAGAAGTATATAATTGCTGTACTTGATGTTGTCTCTGTCAATGTCATTGTTGATACTGGAACATTTCATGAATTCACTATAATAAAATGTTGATCATTGCTGAACTTTGAACATCTTCTGTTCCCTAGGATTATTTAGAAAGGTTAAAGGCCATACGAGTTCAGAATTACAACGAGCGTCGGCAAGTACAGAAGCAAGCATTTGGTGGGGAAGCTGTGAAGGTAAGGGTGAAATAACACTATATTTTTGTTGCTATGATTTTAGAGGGTTTTTTTTCAAATTTTAGTGTGTGCGTTTTTGCATATCTATTCAGTATGTACAAAGTAATCAATTTGGTTTTTTTTAACGTGTAGGCAAGTATTGGTGACCCAAGGGTTGATGCTGATGCAAGAAGGAAAAAGATTGAAGCCCTCAAAGTAAGTTCAGACTATTCACAGGAAATAAAAAATGTTTACAATTATATTCTATTGTGATCTTTAAATTATATATAGAGTACTACAGTGTTACGTCACGATACCATGTGATACTACTCTGTTGATATCGTTGCAAAATGCATTCAACCGAATGCCATTTTTGCAACTAACAAACCATTGATCCCAATTTCTAATAGATGTTGTATCTTACTTTTTCTTTGTAAATTTTAATTGATGATTAAATGTGTGTTTGATAACTAATATAATGCGAGCTTTTGTGTTTTTAGTACATTTTGATGGTAAAATATTAGATTTTAAAATGCCTATTCCAGAAAGCCTATGCAGTCATTGAGGCGTAACAGATAGTGCCATCTAGCGTCGTGACGACATGACTGTGGTACTCTATAGAGAGCAAATAGAAAATAATATAATAATATATTGCATAATAGTTTACGGTAAATTTGTACATTAGTTTTTGGTTTATTTTTTTACTTCTCTTATGTTGTTGTTAAGTGCTTCGAGGTTGTGACAACATGAGGCGCTGTGTAAATCCAGAATTATAATTATAACTATGTGATGCTGTATACTGCCCTCAATTTAGACGTACACATATCCTATTCTGAAAGTAGTAATTTATGTTTAAGTACTTATTTATGCATAAGTATTGCGTATGCATAAATGCTACCCAATGTGAAATATGAAGTTATATTCGTAAACATTTGTATATTGCCCTTTCTATCTACCTTTGACCCTGGTTCTCAGAAATGTTAATTCTTGATTTTTGTGAATAATTTTCATAGGCTCAAGCAGATGAGAGAGCAGCAAAACTTAAAGAAGAACTTGCCAGGAAAAGACAAGAGGCTTTTCAGAAAGAAAAGCAACATCGAGATGGACATGTAATTACAGTTTTTAGTTTGATCCATGACCTCTTCAATATATGAACTTATCGATCTATGACCTCATCATTGAATGATATCATTTATCTTTGACCTCATCAATCTATGACCTCATCATTATTCTTATAACTATTTCTTTGATTATATATTTTCTGTCTCCCTCATTTTTACCTTAATTTATTGATGCAACAATTTTTGGAAATAGTAGAACAGTCTGCTCCTAGCAAAGACCAATCTAATAATTCTATGATTTGCAATAATCTCCCATTTTATTTATTTATTTTTTAAAGATAACATTCTTTCTAAAAGTGTGTTTTGTATTTAATTTTTATTGCGTTAATAGGTACGCAAGATGGCAGAAGGTGGGCCAGCTGTCAGAGCCGTTCCAGCTCAAGCTCAACCCGTCAAAGTGCCGGTAGCCCAAGGTACGCTGCAGATAGTTTGACAAATATAATATTAAACAGTGTTCACACTTTGTCAGCTAATGAATCAACCTCTGCTCTGTGCGACCACTTGGCAATGGAACACTGTCTGCTGATTTTCACTGGCCGTTATTTGTTTAAAGCAAACCTTGTTGCATTGTGGTCTTCTTGGAATAGTGCGACCGTTTGCTGGGGGTCACCTTGCTGTAGTCTCATCCAACATCAGTCTGTTAAACACTATATTTGATCCATTAGTAACCAAGATTAAAATTCTTATAACACAGTTATGTTGAGGTTTGTATCCACCCAATGGGCAAATATATTATATAAAGTATTTGTGTATTGAACATTGCTCTTCACCTATTTCGAGAGTGCAGCTTACCTTAGTCGGCTAATCTGGTGGTAGCCAATGTGTGTTCGCTGAACCGTGGAAATCTCTCGATCCCCGGTTCAATTCCCATCGCTGCCTCTCCTTGTGTTTCAGCTTGAGTGCTGAAATACAAGTTACAATAGTGCACCGTCTTTTGGATGAGACGTTTAAGCCGTTGGTCCCGTGTATATTTATTGCCCATATGTACGTTAAAGAACGCAGTACACTCTTTGAAAAAGAGTAGGGGATTGTTTCCCGGGTGTACTGCCCAATCACCACCAGAATGACCCCACTTGAAGTAAGTATTCTTCTAGAATTTCATGGGCTATCCTTGGTGTTTACACCAAATAAATCCAATTCCAATTCTTTTCTTTTTGTTTTTAGTTTTAGGAATTACAGATGCCCTCAAACAGATTCACAGTGATAAGGCAAGTATGAATTTTAAAATTAATTTAAAGATGAATTATATTCATGAGCAGAAAATTAATGTAGATTTTTTTGTAATGATGATTATGGTGATGATGAAGATGGTATGGTAATAGTAAGAGTAATGAAGAAGATGGTGGCAACACTGATAATGATAATAGTAATTGTATGTGCAATTAATACTACTATCTGTTAATACAGAAAATCATTGAATATGTTAGGATGTAATGATATTGCTTATGTTCTACAAAGGTTAATGAAGTTATTCAATGAATTTTTGTTTTGTATTTTCTAGGGCGTTGAAGTACAAGAACAAGAAAGGTAATTTTTTGAATTTTTTTCCCAATAAATCATTTTAATCCATAATTTTTTTAAAGTCAGGGTCTGGAGGAAAATAATTTTTATGTTATACAAAATAAAAATGCCCATATATAGTCGTGAAGTGCCCATAAATAGTCATGATGTGCCTATATACGGTATGTGGCAAAGACAAGCCAAACCAGTCACTCGTTCAGAGACAATGGCCAAAACATGTTGGGATGTCTAAATCTTTGAAATCTATGTTGTTACACTAAATTAACCTTTATATATCTATATATCATGCTATGCTGTTTTCAATGTTGAAACTACAATTTTTAACGATTTACTGATGGTATTTGCCTGAGAAATGCTCAAAATCATAAACCTTTAGGCTAATTTCTCAAATATTGTTCTTCGAAGAGCTGTATGTTTAAACTTCTCCAGCTTTGTAACAGATTTTAATTATAATTTTACAGCTCTCATTTTATTGTTTAACCCTGTATTGATAACTAAAAATTGATTTTTGCCACAAGTGACTGGTTTGGCTTGCCTTTGGCACATACGGTATATTGATTCAAAAATATGTATCTCATTTACTGTTTTTGTCAAACACCCTTTTTGTGTCTCGGAAAAATCATTTGTACCACATATCTTTTTTTCCCTCTGTAGCCTGGGAAAGTAGATTTTTTGTATTTATTTTACTGCCATTTGACTTATTGTTGTTGATGTTTATTTCAGACCAAGTGCAATCGAAAAAGAAAAAGAGAATCAAAAGGTGGTAAGTGAATGAATATCGTATTCATATAATTATTTTAGTAAAGTTTATGAATGAATTATTATTATATGGGTGACAGGAAAATATAACGCTTTAAATGTTATTTTTATTATTTGTATTACTAATATTATTATTATTATTATTTATTTTTTACTTTAATTACATTGTGATTCTCATTAGGTCATTCGTATCTTCTTAAGTATAATGTTATAGTGACTATAACAACTCCATAGTATAAACAGATTTTAATGCTAATAATTAATTAATTAATTTGTTTTATTTACGAAGCCTGAGAAAAGGAAGCAATGGGGTGCAGGAGACCGCAAAGCACTTCCCTTGAATAACATGCCGCTAGAGATTACTGCTTCTGGAATGGAAGGTATGTATAGTTGAGCCTTTAATTCAGGTCCTAGCCTTCATCCACAAGCAAATGCAGCTAAATGTTGTTAATAATGTTCCTAAAATGTCAGCCTAGCATTGAATTTAGGAATCCAGGCATTATTTTTCATCTTTAAAAAAATGTCAGATTTGAAGTCTGCGCTGAATAGGTAGGCATCGGCCCAGATATACTATTTTAAAGAAATCACCTCCCTGCAAGCCCTACCTATCACCATCATTACTTGTGAAGTGCTTGCTGCTGTTTCCTAGAAAATGTCATCTTCCTTCTCCAGCCAATTGAAATTCATCCATTTATTTTTCTGGGAGACGAAATCTTTGTGGCGTAAATAACAAAAATAAAGATGTAAGGTACCTTAAGTTTGGAAAACCTTCCTGTTATAATACCTAAACAGCCTTAACTTCACTGCGAAACATTGAATATTGTAGCATTATGGTAGTTATCAATACCAAAGATGATGATTAACTTCAAAGATAATGTATAAACTTAATTTTATTACCAGCTACTGGCGTAGCTGATGCAGTAGTCAAGCATGACCAACATACTGAACACAGCAGTGTAGCAGCTGGGCGTAAACATTGGGCTGGCCATGGTGAAACCGTCCTCAACGCCCTGCAGGCCCGACAACTAGCACTTGAAACGACCACCTTCGCTTCACTGCAGCCTGGAAGTCAAATGGGTGTAACGGTTATCAAAGGCGCAGCAAAGACCCCTGTTCCCAAGTCCCCCATCCAGCCTGGCACGATCACTATATCTAAAGAAGTGAAGAAAACAACGGATAACACATCCGAAGGTATCGTTATTTGTTCTCAGTCAAGCTTTTAATACTTATACATTCGTGTGGCAATAAATATTGAGAGGCTGGTACTGTAGCTTCTCTAGGGCGAGAATTCCTTATTAATTTTGTCAGGCTCATACTAAATTCTTATAAGGTAAATATAGATTTTGGTCATTTTGCTTTTAGAATCTATTGAAACAATTATTGTGACAGAGAGTAAAGGAGAAAAAGAACCTGGGAAAAGCAAAGCGGCCTGGAGTGACGGTATTAAAGAAGATAAATCTGACCAACAAACTGAAGGTTAGTGAACATGAGTTTTTGTTTAACCTTTGAAAATGTTTATTGAATGTTTATAATAAATGTAAACAGGAAACAAAAGACATTAGAGGCAAATGGAATGGCTGAGTGGTTAAGGCAGGGACGTCGCAACCTACAGCGATAATATTAGCACTGGTTCGAGTTCAACAAGTTGAGAAGGGTTGGGGGTTACTTTCAAGATGTAATTTATTTGACACAAGCTTTCGCTGGCAGCTTCATCAGGTGTGTGAAGTAGAAAATTAAACTAAGGGAGAAAATAACTTAGGCGCGATCTCCAAATTATCCCAGACGCGTTTTCTATTGTTCTTTCAAAACGTGTCTGAAAACACTGTTTGAATATCACATCATTTGGATGCTGATATTCCGTTTAGGCCTTTGCTCCTCCCCTTTAACTATGGCTGATTGGATGCACCGTAAAACGTGTCCAGATGACTCTCTAAAATGAATCATAATACGACTGACTCACTCTGCGGCCATATACCCAAGTATGGACTTGTTACCTGCTAGTGAACGTCTCTCTTTGTACGCCGCCTGTGTGTGCAAGAACTGAGAGAAGTACGTAAACTAGGGAAGTCCCTGGTCGATGCTAAAAAAATAGTCGGTTGGGTATTGGGACGTCGATATTCAGTAGGCCTAGTACAGTGCATAGAGACCATGAGACTGTCGCAATATTCATTAATTTTACGAATTTATGAACAAATATAATGTTAAAAAGTCCAATTTTTTTTAGTTAGTTCCGATGTAGTCACAGTATGAGTCGCTGGCCACCATCAGTTTTAAGAAGCGCGATCACCATCCTGTGCAGCTTTGGTAACATCCAGCACAGCAATTAATTGCTCTTCTTTGTCGTTCAAAGGGATCATGTGCTAAGACCCATGCTCCGAAAACGTTGTCCACGATCAAAGTAGATGAAATTTTGCATTATACTAAGATAAATTATATTTACATTTTATAAAACAAGGTTTATTAATTGAATTTACGTGAATTTCACAGCAAATTTTGACATACAAACATGTAAGGCTAAACCATTGCCTACCCAGTAAAGGTTTTACTGACAACTCGCGATATTACTGTAATTTATTTATTTATTCAACTAAACATACACTTCTGTTTCAGCGGCACACATAAATGTGGTGCGTTCAATGTATAAAAGAGAGAAAGAAAAACAACTAAAAATAAGTAATTGTAAAAAAAAAAAGTTATACCCCGTTTGAAAATGGACGGTTCTAAATCGCCCAGTACTTTATTTGTTTACACACGTGGTTCTGGGCCCCGTGCTCTGCACCAAAGTCTTGACGTCGAGATCGCTGCAGTTTTATTTGAAAGAGTACTCTGTAGTTCGATCAGTTAAATAGTAAATCAAAACTAAAGCTCATGATTTGTTGTTAATATGACAAGTTACTGTCTTTAGCTTAATTTACTAGTCAACCAAATATACATCTCTCGATTCGAAGGATCTACAGTAGAACTTACAGTAAAGAAATTGCACTGCTGCATAGTATACACAGTACGGGACACAGTAGAGAATAGCCTCAGAAAATTGTGAGTAACCAGCCGTGCACGAAGATAAAAAAAGATAGGCAGACTACCTACTTAGGTCTAGATTTGATTTTATGTTTAGGCGAGAATGTAACCGCGACTTACTATGGCACTTAAAATATATTTGAAGTATGTTTGTGATTTGTAATGTCAATGTCGGCGCTATTTTTTAGAGTCGCGACGTAGTTCTATCTACAGAGCGGCGTACAAAGCGAATTCCAATGGAACTCGCTTAGCGCATCCCACTCCCTGGAACCTCCAGGCACGTTGTTATCATGTAATTTACAAATCTTCATATAAGCATAGAGAAGTATAGCCACATGTACGTATAAGAAAACAATAGAAAATCGTTCAAACGGTCAACAAGTGTCCAAATGATTCACCGTCGTCCAGACGCAAGCCGTAATTCAAGCGTGTAGCAAATGAATATTCATAATTAGAATGGTTAATTTCTCAGATGCGTTCGTGATAGGGTGTTGACCTAGACGCGTTTTTGCCATCTGGGATAATTTGGAGATCACACCTTATGCATACATTATACTTATAGCATCCATCAAGTTTAGAATGCACTAATTTTAATCTCCCTTTCATCATTTTTGTAGAGATTAATGTCTTTACTAATTGTTGATTTGGATTAACACTATTTAATTTATTTATCAGCTGATGATGCTCCTGGGTCATTTGAATATTGTAATATTCGCAGGTGACTTTCAATAAGATATAAATACAGTTCTTTTTTATCAATATATTGCAAAGTTTTATTCAGCATCAACTATTCTACTGTACATGTATAAAAGGTGACTTTCATTAAGTTATAAATACAGTTCTTTTTTATCAATATATTGCAAAGTTTTATTTAGCATCAACTATTCTACTGTACATGTTATATACAATCGACTACTAACTAACCACTCTATCTGATACTTCTACTTCTACTGATTCAGTGATCTGGAGGTGTGTCTAGATTAAGTCACACCATACTTTTAGATCATAGAGAAATTCTTTCTTTATAATTTAATAGCTTGTTTACTAAAAAACTGCTAATTGAGATATATTACAAACTTCAAAACTTGGGCTTAAAACTGATAATTATGGAGGGGGGAATGTTAGGTCCGATTGTCCGGGGCTGAACTGGTTGTCACTTTAATAGAATGACCAATAATCTGTCAATAACATATATTTCGAAGCTTGTGGTACACAAGGTAGTTTTGATTGAGTTGCTTCATTCGTCTTCAGGAGAAGGACTTTTAGATTGTGTGGACGTGGACCTGGTTCATGTCGACTAGTCATGCGTGTCAACGTAGTCAACTATACTTGTTGACTACAAATGAAAACCTTTTAGAATTCAGTCGACATGTAGCCTGCGCTAGGCAACCTCATTAAGCAGTTGTCATGGCGAACCTTCATCGACTTCGCGAAATTATTGTCTTTGCATATTCTACTGGTGTCTTCACCGATGCCGAATGCCGAATTCAGGTACCGAGATTATCAGAAATTTGATGTAGACAAGTACAACAATGATGAATGTAATGCATACTTCAGGGCGCATCCGGTGCGTCAACTGCGATGATGCAGATAGTTAACAGGCCTCCCCGGCCGCAAGCATTTGCATTGCATGCACACTGGCGTAAGCACGCTCATGAACTTCCACATCCTTTTTTGTGTTTACGAAGGCAGTAGAAATTACATAACTGCCTGTGCATTAAAAAGCAAATAATACAGATTAATTCAACACAAGTTAGAAACTTACCTCAGGCTCTGTCTCTGCCTCAGTTGAACTAACTAGTGAAAGCAGCGTTGCCAGTATATTTTCAACTTCCATCTTTAAACTTCACAAGCGAGCACAGCGTCCTAGATTTAGGACGACAGGAAAAACGAGGTGAACACGTTCTCGATTTTGGTAGTGGACGAGGGAGACGAAGTAACACATGCGCAGTGCCTTAAAATGACCTCATCATGTAGCAGTCCACTATGTCGGCAAATCTAAAAGTCCCTAATATCTGCACAAACTCTAAACAGAGAAATATTTACATGTTTTGGTAGAGAGGCTGGATGGATAAACTGATCAATGAGAAGACTGCTAGAGAAAGGCTAAAATAAAAGCCATTGTTCACGGAGACAAGGAGGTGGGAATGACCAAAACAAAGGTATAGTTCCAGTAGGGCGGGAAAGGGGGATGGGAACGACCATAAACCAAAGGCATAGTTCCAGAAGGCCGGAAATGATGGGGCTGCTTAGCTAGGTCCGATTAAGCATGGACAGCTAAATATCGCTAATGACAAATCCGATATCTTGATGTACAATATTGTGTTTGTGGATTTCTATGGCTTCTCTGGTCCTTCTGGAGTGCCACGATGGTACAGTGGCTATTAGTTCGGCTATGTCCCAATGTACACGGTGTTGTTGACTGTGGGAGTGCATGACTATAGACGATTTTTGTTGTTCCCCTCTCCTGGCATGGCCTTGGTGTTCCTTGAGCCTAGTGCGGAGATCTCTTCCTGTTTCACCAATGTAAAGCTTCCCACATTCGCACAGGATCCGATAAACTTCTGGTTGACTCTGTGCTGGTGGTTTATCCTTGTGTGTTTGTAGAGTCTGGGATAGTCTGTTGGTGTGCTATGAAACACTTTGATATCGGCTTGTAGTAGAATGTGTTGAATGCCATATGAAAGCTATCCCAAATATGGTAAATATACAGAATTTCTTGATTCCGCATTATCTAGCCTATTGCTGGGTCTGGGTGTACCATTGTCTCTCGTGTGATAACCATTAAGTTTAAGGGCTGCCTTAACATGTTGCACTTCTTTCTGGATGGAGTTGTGGTTGCTGATGCAATGTGCTCTTCTGATGAGTGTGTTACAAACTCCCTTCTTGGTGGACGGATGGCGATTGTGTTCCTCCTCCATGGTAAACGTGATTGCTTTGTGCTGAGAATTCAGGTGATCTAGAAAACCATCTAGGTACACATTACTGTGTTGCCAAATGATGAAAGTGTCATCGATGTGTCAGAACCAGAGTTTTGGTTGTTTGGTGGCTGAAAGAAGCGCTAGTTATTCAAACTCTTCAAGGAAGATGTTGGCAATGACTGGGGATAAAGGCGATCCCATGGCCATGCCTTCTGTTTGTTCGAAAAACTGGTCGCGCCATTTGAAACTAGTACAGAGTAAACACTAAAAGTAAATCGTGAATCAGTTCGGGGTTCAGATCTGTTCTTTCTTGGAGCGTGTGATCCTCTTCTAGACGGTGTTTGGCTATTAGACAAGCCTCCTTGACAGGTACATCGGTGAATAGTGATTTGGTGTCGAAGCTAACAAGAGTCTCTGTAGTTACCTTAACTAAGCGACGTATCCATATTACACCCATACTATATTATCTTCACTGGCTTCCTGTCGACAAAAGAATTATTTATAAAACATTGCTGTTAACATACAAGGCAATGAACTATCTCGCTCCAGAATACATCACCGAACTCCTGACTCCTTACACGCAAACACCCTCTCTCCGATCCGCTTCTAAGAATCTTCTAAAAGTTCCGAAAAGCACTACCATCACATACGGCTCACGGGCATTCACCTCTGCGGCGTCTACCTTATGGAATGCACTTCCAGATGAAATCAGGAACGCCGACTCACTTCAGCTTTTTAAAACACAACTCAAAACTCACCTCTTCACTGAAAGTTTTGCTGAATTCCTTTAAGACACTTTTTACCACTATTTTGTTTTTTTTCCTTCTTTTAACTGCTTAGCTAGACACCGCCATCACTTGAGCACCTGTGAGTCATGCATCGGCGGGCTTTACGCCTTAAATTGCCGATAAACGGTGCGGTGTTGGTTTGGTTCATTTAGGCGTTTTCTTTTTTCTTTGTTAGTCTAGGTTCATGGTTTTTTTATTCTCTTGTCCGTTTCCTTCCGTTGTTGTGAAGCGCCTCGAGGTTGGTTTAACGGGAGGCACTACAGAAATCGCAAATTATTATTATATTATTATTCAAGGTAAACATCCCGGATGGTCTTCACAAAGTGTTGAGAGTTGGTTACATGATGAACAGTGTTGCCTACCAGTGGATACAGTATCCTAGCAAGATACTTGGCGAGAGGGTAGGTTTTCATGATTCTCGTGAAGAAACGTAGTGGAATGTCCACTTTATGAATTTTTTCGGTGGTCCGAATAGTCTCGGGCATATGGATGCTGAAGGTCGGAGTTGATAGTACAGTGGCTTCGAGAGTGCCTCCAAACGATGTAGTTTGAGTAACCTGTTTGTAACCCTCCTTTCGGAGGCTTTAGTCGGGTCTTTCTTGATCCTCCTCCTACTAGGTGTCTTCAAGGGATGCAAGATTTTCTTGTACTGAGTTCTTTTCAGGACTACCTATGTGGTGTACCGCCAGCTTCAACATATATGTTACTACTTCGCCATGCAAACCTTCAAACAATAATCGATCAATAGTTAGTAAACCCATTTAGGTGTCAAGCTATGTTGAAACCAAGTTTGAAATATTCAACAGGTTTGGTATCAAGTGAAAGGTATCAATAACAGATTTCAATGGTTATCTAAGTTAAATATTATTGAACCTTAATACTACATTACAATATTCTTGACGTCTTTGTTTTTGTTTAAAACCATAAACATTTATGGCTACATTTTTAACTGTTTCAATCAATGTGTTCATTTCTTCCTTGGCAATTTCCTTTGTGCTTATTGTGATTATATTTTCAACTATTATTATATTTCTTCTTAAGTTTGTTTCATCGATGTTTATCTGCTGATCTCCATTCAGGTGCCTTGGATGGAGAAATTATAGAAAATATAGATTTACTTAGTTGTGTTTCCGAGTCAAATGCTTGTATTTTTATGAATTTTTTATTCTTGAACTCTTCCAAAAAATGCTCATATTCTTTTAATACTAGCACATGTAGTATTTTTTCATAATTTATTTGCTTCGATTCTGGCTCAATTAATTCTAGTGAACGTAATTTCTTACTTATTATAAATTTTGGATTAAATTTGGCTGTTTTCTTTTTTTTTTCTTTCAACATTGGGTGAAAAAAGATACGAACAACAGAAATATAATATAACGTTTCATATTGTTTATCATCATCTAGTGATAGCCCCTTTATAATATAGTCAACAGGATATTTTCCTTCCGGATGCTTATAAAATGTCCTTGCTTCCATTTCAGTGTATAATTCCACTTCACCAATACAACAGCATAAAAGTGCAGCACTGACACCTTCAGACACTTCAGATGATCCGCCAGCATTTTCCTTAAGAAATATATTTTTAAAAGAGGGGTCAATATATTTAATTGTTGGATAAAGCTTTTTTACAAAATCTAAAATTAAATTTATAATATTAAATACATAACTATTTGTAATACCATTTAGTCCCATGTTATTTAATTATTTGAGCTGATTGGGAGATGAAAAAGTACATACAGTATAAACCGCTAGGCCTAGGCCTACTAGCTTGAATGTGATCTTAGGTAGTTGGGAAGATTTATAGAGCTTTATAGAGTTATACCAAACAGGAAATTAGAGCCACCTGTTAACAGACAGGCTAGCAAAAAATCTCAAATTCTTGAAAGAAATTCCAAGCAGCTGTTATATGATTACCTGAAAATCCTCTTTATATCCTACGTTATTCCAAATTCAGTGAGTCACGCAATATGAGTTACAAAGAAATACGAAAAAATTACCATTTCAGGACCGTTTAATTTGACAGTCAGTCTCCGACCAAATTTTGCAACCAAACACCAACGTCATACCAACGTCAGATATCCCGACGAGGTTGTTGAAGGTTAACTAATAATAGCTCTATTGTATTTCCAAATATGATAATAGAAATTGCTAGTTGACGCAGGCGGCGCACTCCACTGCATGTAGCAGTCCTACCATCTGTGTATCATTTTTACTTTCATTTTTAACTTTAATTACTTTTACGATAAATGACATGCGAACAATTTGTGCCCTATTCCTAAAGGTAATAAATTCACTTTTTGAATAGGTAATAAATTCAGCATTTAGGAATGTTGACTATACCCCCCAAAGATGCCAAAGAACTAGGCCTCCTTTAAATGACCTTTTAATTCTTAATTCTCATTGGTCAAATGAGATCTACACTTGATTCTACCCAATCAGACTAGTGCATTTTTGACTTACCCTAATTATATTGTATTCCATTCCATTTGACTATAGTGTTTTTTATAGCTTTTGCACAACCTTTTTTTTCACTTGCAAAGAATTGATAGTTGTAATTATATTACTGTAATACTATACGACAACTAAGGCGCAGAAGATTGGCGGTGAAGTATAAATGAAAATTGTAATTCGTCGGAAATTTTTTAAAAATAGTATTTTAAAACAAAATGTTTGACTGAATTTTTTCATAAATAGTACTTTTTGGGGTTTTTGCCCAGATAGGCAAACTTTGACTATTATATTACATTCATATAAGAAATATTACATCTCCAATTTTTTTATATGTCATAGCTAACACCCGGGACAAATTGAAACAAATTACTTCACAAGATTAAAATAAAATTTTGAGTACACGCACCACCCAGCAATAATATCCAGTTGCCTTAGAATGTAAACCAGTTTAATTTAAAAATAAGCTAAATGAACATTTGTAAGTAATTTGTTAATTATGAACAAAAATAACGTAAAATATAAAAGATTAAAGGAAGAAAGAAAGAATAGGAAAGAAACTCAAAGCGGCTAAAATAATTTCCAAAAATTAAACAATAATAATAGTCAGTCGTTATTGTGTTACGTTTTGTAGCCATTTTGGACACTGTCATCAGAGGTCAGGGTGTCAAGCCTACACATTTTATACTTTATGAAATGTTGAACATCAACCTCCATCTTGCTTGACTCTTTGATTTTTCCCCTTAACTGAATAGAAAAATAAGATTGTGTGATGTTAGAAATTTTCTTGATTTTAAAAATTTTGAAATTTTTCTTGTAAATATAAATTTTTTGCTTGACTGCTGTTCAATGTTTTTTGTGTTTATTGCCTCACACACGCTCCTGCCGGGAGCCTATTTTTTTTTTTCTTTTGAATTTGCAAAACTCTTCAAGTGGTAAGTTGTAGGCGACGTTTGCAGACTAACCTACTCGTACCAACGTCCGCATGTCGTGCTAGCCTTATCCTACTCTAGGCCTAGACTAGCTAGGATGGTATAGGCCTAGCCTTGAAGGGACAAATGTCCCAATGAAAAACAACGTCACTCTTTGATAGCTAACATTGTCTATTTAACATCACAATAATTCATTATTAGACCTATAGTTGTTTTTTGAATTGTACTCCACAAATCTCAGCTGATACCTCGCACAACTCGTTACGTCTCTATCTATTGTCGTGACTTCATGGCTCGCACTTTGGCAACACTCTTTGGCAGTCAACTCGCCCCTAGAAAACCTGCCCTTGGAAACTTGCCCCATAAAAAAATGTACACTTCCTAGACTATGCAGTTTTCAAAATAAAAATTGTAACCTTTGGTAATCAACTACATTTTCCACATACATAGAAATTTTTAAATCTTTATTAAAAAAACCTAAACCATAATTTACCACTATAGACACTTTGTCAAAAATGAAAAACTACGACTTTGTTACCCAATGAGAAGTGTTCTAATATAGACAATGGGTCATGTCTCATATTATTTGTTATATTTTTATTATTCATTATTATAAATAAATAATTTTGTTCGAAGAACATTTATATGCAGTTGTACTTCGCAGCACTTCACTTGCAATTTGCAATTTCTAGTTTTATTAATATTAGTAGCACAATACGATTAAACTGGGAGATGCTGGATTGAATTGGATTGGATTTATTCGGTGTAAAAACCAAGGATAGCCCATGAAAGTCTAGAAGACTTATTTCCAGTGGGGTTCTTCTGGTGATGATTGGGCAGTACACCGGGAGACAATCCCCTACTCTTTTCTGAAGAGTGTACTGTGTTCTTTAACGTGCACATGGACCGTCAATGCACACGGGACCAACGGCTTAAACGTCTCATCCAAAAGACGGTGCGCTAATTATAACTTGTATTTTAGCCCTCCAGCTGAAATACAAGGAGAGGCAGTGATGGGAACTGAACTGGACCTAGAGATCTCCACGGTTCAGTGCACACACAGTGCTAAGCTGCTCTCTTAAGCTGCTCTCATAATGCTGTATTAATTAAAAGAGATCATGAAGATCCTCTGGGTATTGTTGGTATGATGAATTATATATATATATATATATGATGTTTTCCTTATTCTCGCTGATGAAGGCCAGTAAGGATATTGATGTAGCTGGAAATGAGGAAAAGAGAACTCTACAAGCCGACTCCATTAAGAAGACCAACACTCCAAGGTCAGTTAGACCGTCATGGGAACGCAAACTCAACCAATCAGCTGACGCTGAAGAAAACAAGACCAGTACAGATTCCTTAAATATATCGGGGGGACAGAAATCTCCCCGCTCCCCTATCCCTCCGTGGCAGAGGAAATCTGTTGAGGTTAAACCAACGGATAACAAAGAAGGGACCGACAGTCAGGTCTCTCAGTCGGTAGATGGAAAAAGTTCTAAAGGTCTGAGGTCGCAGGTTCCACCATGGCAGAGGAAATCTCTTCCAAATGCAGAGGATGACCAAACCGAGGGAGACGGCTTGAAAAGATCTCCAGAGGTTTGTGTTGGTGTTGATTCCAAGTCACCACGACGACAGTCTGACAATGGTTCGGAACACACACCAGCAAGAAAGAGTGAGTGGCTTGCAGTGTTTATTTATTTATATAATAAAATGATGATCATTCCTAAATTAAAATTGTATTAGTGTGCTTTTATGATATGAAGCTGCATTTTGTTATGCAAGTTGAGTACTTTATGTTTGTAATAATAATATGTAATATGTTTTTTTTTTTGTATCATTTTCTTAGGTTTTTTTAATTAATATTCATTTTACAGGTATCACCTATGGCTTACACCCAACAATGGCTTTTTTCTTCTTTTGTTTTCTATTTGTAATGATTATTTTTACTCCATTCATTTAGTAAGAGTATATTATAAAAATTAAACCTTTTTTTTTGTATGTATGGTGAATTACAAAGAACAATTTAAGAATAAAAAAAACGAAATGCTATCAAAACAAGCAGGAATCTAGTTTTAATATGCATCAAGCTCAAGTAATAAAATATAAATTTTCTGAATTTATAACCATATACAAATGTTGATAGTTTAATTATGTTGATATTAAAGATTTATTATTGTCCCATGCTAAATGCCAAAAAAATCATGAAAATATTTTTTGAAATTAACTTGCCCATGTTGAAGTAATATAAAAGTTATCAACTTGAACATAAAAATTAGTGTAAAAAATGTCTACCCATCAGTTTACAGCAAAAAATGATAAACATTTCCAGTCACTGGAAGTGTTTTATTATTTTTCTTATAATTTTTTGGTTTAAAAATCAGGGTACACATTTTTTAAATTCAATAATTTTTATGCACAAGTTAATTATTTTGTATGCTATTGCAATATGAGCAAGTTTATTTCAAAATTATTTTTTTATGATTTTTTGACATTAGCAAGGGACAATACATCTTTTAAATGTCTGATATGTCATTTCTTATCACTAGGAGGTGCGAGTCAGGCAGATGACAGGCATGTTCATGGTAGGGAGAAAAAGCTAGCTAGCCTAGAACCCAGAACTAGTGCCAGCATTGAGAGTAGTCATGACCAAGAAGTAGGAAAGAAAATTCTAGGCCCAAAAGATCAAACACAAGTGCTAGAGAGTAGGGAGGTAGTAATGCTACGTAGTCTTATTCTCACTGGTAATGTTGGAGAAGATGACACAAGTTTGGCGTATTTAGGAGAAACATTAAGTGAAAAGGAGCTCAAAGAGCTACTGCAGAACGTTCTGTTAGATAAGTTTTTAGAAGATGTTGAAGATGACATCATTATTACTGGTGAGAGATCTAGAGCTGCTGTCGTCTCTGAGAAAATAGATGAGAGTAGAGATAAAATTGCTAGATTAGAAGTCGAAGATAAGGATGCCCTAGAGGTAGATGGTAGAGTTCTTAGGGAAGAAGACATCATAATTGAAATTGTTGATGACCAGACAGATTGTGGTAATCTGACCTATGAGTTGAGAGGAGATAATATGAAAGAAGTATGCCTTGATGAAAATGTTCAAAGAAGCTTTAAATGCCATAAAAAGATGTCATGTATCAAAGGAAGTGTGCTAACCAGAAAAGATGCAGTATCCAGTAGGAGTGCTGGGACTTCAGACACCTCCCATCAACAGAATCTTAAGGAAATCAGTTATGCAAGACAGAAAAGGAGAAAGAAAAAAATTAAGTCTGGATGCTTGTTAGGAAGTAATTTAGATAGATATAAAGCTAAAGGTGTTAAAGATGTAAAACACAGTGATGTTAACAAGAGACCGCTGTGCAGACTCACCAGTACAATGGCTTGCCAGACCACCTATGAGACCAGTTGCTCAAGCACACAGACTGACATTACTTTGTCCGTTGCTTCAGACATCGTCACTGATCATCCAGATGTTGATCAAATCATACAATCTGACATCTTAAAGGCCAGCACTAATATGGAGAAGTCTAACAGTTGTCAGTTATTAAAGAATGATCCCTTTTCTCTCACCGCCATTCATTGTAATCCACCAGAAATCATGAAGAACATTCACGCTCAGGATTCTGGTGATGTTTCTACCAATAATG